AATGTTGAAGAGAAAATACGTTTAGATATCATATTCGCCAAAATAATGAAAACAATACATTTAAATTAAAAAAAAATAATCAAAAATGGGTATTTTCGTATTTTGTGAATTTCTATCTAATTGTACGATCAACGACAGACGTTTTTGTAATCGAAATGATCAGTATAAAAGTTCTATCAAATGATACTATTTGAAGACCAATTAAAGATTACACATGTAGCGTCAGGAGGAACTCTTTAGAATTACGCAAATACTTTATAAAATGCGGAACAATAGTAAGTTTACTTAGCAACAGAGACCTCACTTGACTCGACTGTTATTGTCAAGTCATGAGAAGTATCAAGTTAAAAACAATTTACATCAAGACCAATTCATTGTTGACATGATTTATCCAATATTTCAGCTGAAATATTTGCTGAACTATATAGAGCAGTTCTCTTTTACTTCCAACAGTTTTTAATCATACATTTATAAAGAAAGCCAAAAAGATTTCGCTGAAATATAGCAGAAATATGAGAGTAAGAAAGTTTCTTATCAACCACGTTAGCTGCTTTGCCCATACGAATTATTAGTGATTGTCAGTACTCTGTTAATTCTGGTTGCAAATAGCTCACCGATTGATGTATGGAAATTTCTTTGTGAGTGATCTACACTTCTTTGGTCTTTCTAGAAAATTTATCATGTTCACATATATCCTTTGACTGTTTCTTTAATTTTTGTTCCTTTAACTATATGTGAGAGTACTAGGTTCATAGCAGAGATCGGCGAGTTAGTCAAAACTGCGACTCGCCACCGCCTTGTCATATTGACAGCCTATCTATTGCTGCCTCGTCTCGTCTCATCTACTGTCTAATATAAAAACGAGTTTTCTTAAGGAAGTTCTTCGACCAATCACAATAATCACTATCTAGCTTATTTCTTTTCATCAAGTTGAGTAGATTTCATATATATAGATAAGTGCAAAAATAAAAAATACAAAATGAGATACAAATGAACAATGTTGTGATAATGATTCAATGAGCTTTTGTCGAAATTCAGATCTATATTAGTTAGCTAATATGTCGACGTGAGACGAAATAGTATTAGCACCAAAAAATATGTTATCGACATGAATTTTCCATATTTTGCCTCTATAGAATAAAGAAAGAGAATGAAAAAAAGAATATTTTAAGGATAGGTTGTGCAATACCCAAAGAAATACATTCTCGAATGAAAGATCGAACTTCTTCATCAATGACGGTCGAGTATGATCTCATATCCATACAGAACCGTTCTACAATAAGGTTTTCTATTTTATTACTTTTTTCTTCACTTACTTTAATCGATTCTGGACGGTTACAGATGAAAAAAAGCATTTTTGTTTTAAAGGTAATGAAGGCATTGTAACAGTGTTTTAAAGATCTTATTGGTGAACATCCACAAATGTACTTGTTCTTATGCAAGATGCTATTATTATAGTAAGAATATTTTACATAGCGACGTTTACATGAGACAAGGTTGTTTTATTTTGCCCCCGCAACACCTTAATTATCTGTAACAGCTGAAAAGTCAAACCGAGACTGGCAACGTGTCGTATATTTCTTCCTTTTTTTGACTATTGTTAAATTCATCTTTACGCAGGAATCAATTTTATATCCTTCTACAGGACATTCGAGAAATATCTGATAATGTATGATCAGCATTGCGAGAATCTGAACAAGTTTCTTCTATTACATTGATAATATCTTTATAAGAAGAATAATAGTTTGCCGAGCAATAATACGTATCTAGATTAAAATTTGTATTGTACAAATTTCTATTTGCCAACATAATAGAGGTCACATTAGTTAAATTGACAATCGAAACTGTGTAAGGCTTCAAACCGACTGACTTAGTTTGAAGTCAATTAATCAATATTATTGACGTCATTACATGGTAATATCAATCATGTTTCTTAATTCACTTTGAATTGAGCCAGTCTGTTTGGAAACTAAATTAAATTGTTCGACAGACCAAATAAATAATGATATTTGCGTAAATATTAATACTCATTTATTGTTGTGACTAGTTTTAACTTCATTGCCAATAGAAATTCTCTAAGAAGTGAATACTAAAATCAGGAGATAACATTCATGATCTGCCATTTACTCATTAACAATTACATTTTACGTACACGAGTTGACTCAGCGAGTCTTGAAATCAACATACACTCGTCTCGGAGCGAGGCGAAGAAACTTGACGAATCTTGATCTCTGGTCTGTAGCTCTTTATTCACACAGAGTATGCATGATGGCATAACTCCTTTCAGTAGAGGGTTAGCGACGTTTGCGTCGCGTTAGTTGTTATTATGATACCAATTGAATAGTGATCAAATAGTTTAGAAAAATAGAGCGGAAGATGCTCTATCTGTTCATTAAAAAAAAAGAAAAGTTTCTCATGTGGTCTATAAGAAATTGAGATATTGGCGCCACTACTTTTGATATGCCCTAAGTATATATATGTATATATATATACGTATATATAGATAATGAATTATGAGATAGATTATATGTGAAAAGTATAAAAATGATGAAAGGTTATGTTTATTTTTATATATACAATACAAAACAAATACTTTTTATTCATTTAAATTTTAATTTACTTCTAAGTTAATTTACGGATAAATCAAATCCAAACTGAGTACACACTGACACCCTTGAAATGATGAACAAAATTCATACTTCAAATCAATATTAATAATGATAATTTGTTGATTTTTGAGTATGGATGTTGGTAGTTTCTTGTTAAAAAATATAGATAATGAGTAATTTTTTTGTGATCCAAATTACCAATACTAATACTATCCATCTATTTTTAATTTGTATTACTGCTAATGTAATTTTGACATAAGAGAAACTGAAAGTAAAAATAAATAGACATTTCTAACTTTGTCCAGAAAAAGACGGGGGCGCATAAGCTATAGAAAATGGTCACTAGGGATTTATTGACATTTCATTGACAATTCTTTTTAAAAATGTGAGACAAGTTTTGGGAGTGTCTCATTTCAGGTACTTTATTTATTTTATATTATAGGCGTGTTTAGATGAAAAAAAAACAAATAATTTTTCAAACGAATTTTTTTCACTATTTTTATTGGATTACAGGATTTACTGCCGTTGTAAACATTTATTTACAAATACATTTTTTTCTTTATTTTTCTCTTAAGTAAATTATATGATTAAGTTAGATAAATCCATGATCACAATAGATTTTTTTTTCTATTTTCTATGTCAAAGGTTTATTTTTCATCTAAAAGGTTCGTGAAAATGGATTGAAATCTACCCATAGTTCTTAAATAAATTCATCAAATGAAAAGAAAAAATTCTATTCTCTATGTCAAAGGTTTATTTTTCATCTCAAAGGTTCATGAAAATGCATTTAAATCTAACCATAGTTCGTAAATAAATTCATCAATTGAAAGGAAAAAATTCTATTCTGTAGCTCAAATGTTTATTTTTCATCTCAAACGTTCGTGAAAATTGAGTGAAATCTAACTATAGTTCATAATTACTTTTACCAATTGAAAAAATCTATTTTCTATGTCAAAGGTTTATTTCGCATGTCAAACGTTCGTGAGAATATATTTTAAAAAATTCTAGTTTTTTTTTACTTGCGTTCAATAGTCCATTTTTCATTCCTAATATTTCTAAGATGATTTCGTAAGATGTGTGTTAAATCGTAAGCTTTAGGAGAATCTTAATTTCAGTAAATGGTATTACTATAGCACTATACAACTCATTTCTTAATTCTATATTGTGATCATTGGTCTATCCGAACTATAATTCATATAACTTACGAATTTCATTTAATAGTTGTTAGTTGAACAGGTGTAACAATTTTATTTTATATCACTAATAACATTATTTGAGCAAGAGATACATGATATTGACGTCAGTAGTTATGTTATGAAACAAAAGAGAAACCCGCCATTTACAGATTGATTCATTATTGTTAATTAGAAAAATTGATCATATATTAAAGAATTCGACTGTTCTGAATTTTAAAAAAAGTACATTAATATATACATTAGAGAAATGAGTCAAAAAAAGCAGGTAAAAACGATGGACACTAAAAAAAGGATGTGAGAAGCATGTGTTTTATGATATTAGAGACGGTGGTACTTGTCCAGTTTAATCACATTAATCACAGGGTTCTCACTCTCACGCAGTGTTTCCGACAGCAGGTGTACACAGCATAAGCAAAATGTACACAACATCTGCTATTTTTGATTTACACTCTGATTTGTTCTTTGCTCAAAAATACAAAATGTACTGCGCTGTATACTCTGCTAAAAAAGTTTACACATTGATTCTACAAGGTTAAAAATTGTATGTAATATTAGCATCAAAGAGAGACTTTCTTTGCAAAATAGTCGATTATGACCTCGTAATCTTGAGTAAAATTTCACCAATGACCAGTTTGATTGCTTTTATTTTGTCTTTTCGCTCTTTCTGTAGATACATAGGGGTATCCAAAAGTAGTGGCAACGACATTTTAATACCACATATCTAGCTTGATAAAAGTTTCTTTTTACATAGGATGATAGAGAAAGAAGTACTCTTTCTTTCTATGTTATTGGATCATACTTTAGCTAATATTATGATATGAGAGTTTTCATAAGATTCGTTGTGGGATGGTGTGTTTTGGTTACGATAATACATACAGGGTGGCCCATAAGTAAGGAAACACAGTATTCGTTTCGATTTCTTTCTTATACATCATCAGTTCGGACTTATATTTGTATAACAGGTACATCTTTGATTGCCTAAGTTACTCTGAAAGTTTCAGCCCTATTGAATGAGAATTTGTTGAGAACAGTGCAAATATGTCTCATGTATTCAAGCAGTAGTGAACCAAAATTTCCTGTTTTCCTGCTAAATTTTATTTTTTTTTCTTCTCAATAACAGCAGCTTTTGATGAATAATCCACTTCTGTAAGTTTTTTCTAGGCTTAAGCATTGACATTCATCTATAAAGCAGAAGATGATGAAAGGTCATGACAAGAGAAAAGTGATGATGAAAGATGGTCATATTCTCATTGAACTAAGATCAATTATGTTGAATGGTGCAGAGATCAATGATGGACAAGAAGTAATTAGCACTGATGTTGACGTTCAAATTGAACAAATAATGAGCAATAATTTCGACGTTGAGACCGAGCTAGCAGCTATCACATTCGATGGCGAAGAGATGAATCATGGGCAGCATATGACGAGTGAGCACGTCGAGAACAATAATGATTCATTGAATATGTTGGATGCAAGAAGTTCGAACATAAATAGTGAACAAGTACTTAATCAAAAACAAGTGATGCTAGCAATCGAGGATTCTGATAATGCACCGAACGAGTCTGTGACAAAAAATTGTCCAGTTGTCAAAGCTATTACTGAGGAACGAAATTTACTAACTACAGAGATTATCAATGATATGAAAGCAGACCTAGCTCCTATTGTTGGATATGCCGAAGAGCCTCTATTACCACTGTCCAGAGCATGTTTTCCGCTCACCAACATCCTTTATAATTTATCTTTCTACGTTCAAATGGCACTTGACGAAACCTCAGAACAGCCGCCTGATGGGCTAACGATCGACGAGAGCGCTGCAATTCGTCTCTATACGATCGAATGGGAAAGACCCCATAGAAGTCTTTATTCAACGCTCAATTACACTCTCAAGAATGAGAATCGCGAACATCTTCAACCTTATTTTAAGTATTTGAAACTGTTCTTAACTGCTTTAGTCAAATTACCATGCGTCCCGCCCTTAACCGTTTGGCGAGGAGTAACTAAAAATTTGAGCGAAGAATTTCCACCTGGTACATTAGTGACCTGGTGGGCATTTTCATCATGCACAAATGAATTGACTGTACTTGAGAACAAAATGTATTTGGGTAATACTGGTAGTCGAACATTATTCTCTGTGGAAGCTATTAATGGTCGAATAATACGAGCTCATTCACATTTTGTTACTGAAGATGAAATTCTTCTTCTGCCTGGCACTCACATGATAGTTCAATCACAATTCAGTCCGGCACCTGATCTTCATATCATTCACTTGAAACAGGTCATACCACAAAAAGTATTATTGGAACCACCATTCGAAGGTATTTTAAACATTTTCAATCAATTAGTTTAAATTAAGAATATTTTTACACTTAGGCGCACTTCTTTATCCAAAGATTAAGTAAGACTAATTTCATCTTTCATGTAACTGTACTTTTGATAGAAATTTTGATCACATTGAGAAGGCGTGACTGGTATCGGAAGAAGAAATTCGTCATTCCAATAAGCTTTTTGATTACTTTGATCATCGGAGGAATCATGCTTGGCTCTATTTTGGGAACAAAATCTAACAACAATCTCTCTAGTAAGATTTTCGATATTTATTTCAATTCATAGACAAGTCATAGTTCATTCTACACGTACTCATCGTTTTCTTTGGATATATATATTCAAAGATATTACAACTGCTAGATCATAATAAATATATCATCTTAGTGTTTTCTTTCTTTGCCGTCAGATTCTTTGCAACAATATTCCCATTTGTAGCAAAAAAATAAATACAGTTATAGGCTAATTTAACAATACATTGCAAATATTCTTCTCTCTTTTTTTGATCCTTTCATTTCCATATATGATATTTGACTTGGACTAATTTGAGAATAATAAATTCGCAAAAAACAACATAACTTTTATGGATCGGTAATTCTGTGAAATTCTTTGTGAATTAAGGAAGACTCTAGAAAAGAAATTTAAATAATTTCTGCTATAGTTAATTAGAAGCAGTACGAAACGGCTTATTAATTCAGTCGAAAAATTGACTTCAAACTGATAAAATTAGATAAACAAATTAGTCGATTAGAACTTTGAGTTCAATCAATGAAAGACATCACAATTTCTTCCCCAAATCAATTTTTGAAACGAATTTTTCTGGAAAATGAAACATTCAAAAGTGTATCTTAGAGAAATCTACCTCGTAATATGAATAAATTTAATAAAAAAATAGACGAATACAAAATAATATCAGTCATAGAAATGAAACTAGTAGAGAAAAGAACGAATTTAGAGGATGCGCGACATGTGCAAACACACGTACATTCCATATTTTGTTCATCTTCCACTAGTAAGGTGTCAATGCAGATCAGATCTCTGGTATCTATGATGAAACGACACATTTGCTTCTCTTTTATTCGATAAATGATCTAATATATGCAAAGCAAAACAGAAAAAAAATAAAGAAAGCTTATGAGATGAATAACCTTCAAAAACATGTATTGGATAATTTTCATAAATTGACATGTAGATTAATAATTCAATGTTAATCTTTATGTTCGGTATACTTATCAGTATTGTCTGTTTTATTAGCTGTGTGCCAAACACCATTTATATCAGCAACATTATATAAACCTGGACAATTTCCAGTTTTTGCAGCATTGGGCAAGTTTAACAACGACACAGACGTAGATATAGCAGTGGCTAACTTGAATGATAACACCATCAGTGTGCTCCTAGGTAATGGCCTTGGAAGCTTTCAAACTGCATGGCTCTCTAAGGTTGGTCAATTGCCATACTTTGCAGTGGCAAGGGATTTCAATAATGATGGCAAACTAGATATGGTTGTGACTAACTCCAACGACAATACCCTTAGTGTGCTGCTTGGAAATGGAAATGGGACCTTTCAAGCTTCAATGTACCAAACGGTTGGTCAAACACCATACAATATAGTCGCAGGTAATCTGGACAATGATAACATACTAGATTTGGCCGTAGTCAACAATCGCGATAACAGTGTTACTGTTCTGCTTGGAAATGGCAACGGAACGTTTCGGACCTCGAGGAACTATCCAGTTGGTCAAGTACCAACCTCACTGTTATTAGTTGATTTCAATGATGATACTAAACTGGATTTGATAGCTACCAATTATAACGATGGCACCTTTAGTTTGCTATTTGGTTATGGAGATGGAACCTTTCAGACTCCAATGACCTATCCTATCGGCAAATCACCATTCTCTGTGATATCGAGTGATTTCAATAATGATACCATACTGGATCTGGCAGTGACTAACTTCGACGATAACATCGTAAGTGTATTTCTTGGAAGTAACAACGGAACCTTGCATACTGCACTGACCCATATGGTTGGTCGCTCTCCGCGTTCTCTAGTATCAGGTGATTTCAACAATGACAGCAAACTGGACCTCGCAGTAGCCAATTATGGCGAGAACAGCGTCGGTGTGTTGTTCGGTAATGGAAATGGAACGTTTCAGAGTCCAATCATCTATCCAGTTGGTCAATCGGTAAAATCTGTGATATCAGGTTATTTCAATAATGACAACAAACTAGATCTTGCAGTAGCTAACTATGGGGATAACACCGTTGGTGTACTTTTTGGTAATGCGAATGGAACCTTTCAGACTATGATAACCTATTCGGTTGGTCGATCACCATCTTCAGTGATATCAGGTGATTTCAATAATGATAATGAATTAGATCTGGCTGTGACTAACTATGGCGAGAATACTGCCAATGTACTCCTTAACGACGGAAATAACAAGTTTCATATTACAATGACCTATACGGTTGGTCGCTCCCCACGCGCTGTAGTATCAGGGGATTTCAATAAGGATAATATATTAGATCTGGCAGTGGCTAACTACGACGGTAACAGCATCACTGTACTGTTGAGCAATGGGAATGAAATTTTTCATACCTCAGTTGACTATATGATCGGTTCTAATCCACGCTCTATAACATTAGGTGATTTCAATAATGATGCGATACTAGATCTGGCAGCAGGTAACTACGGCCAGAACACTGTAAGTGTGCTGTTTGGCCATAGGAATGGAACCTTTCAAAGTTCAATGTACTATACAGTTGGTCAATCGCCATCCTCTATAACATCAGGTGATTTCAATAATGATGGAAAACTCGATCTGGTAACGACGAACTATCGCAACAGTACTATTAGTGTTTTGCTGAGTAATGGAGATGGGACCTTTCAGACTTCAATGTACTATATGGTTGGTCGCAATCCACGCTCTATATTATCAGATGATTTCAATCATGATAACATATTAGATCTAGCAGTAGGCAACTATGCAGATAACACTCTTAGTGTGTTGCTTGGGAATGGGAATGGAACGTTTCAGACTCAAATTTTGCATGGAACTGAGCACGGACCATACTTCTTAGCATCAGACGATTACAATAATGATAACAAAGTAGATTTGGCGGTGGCCAACTATTTGGACAATACCGCCAGTGTGCTTTTTGGTAATGGGGACGGAAGCTTTCAGACTCCGATCTCGCTTCCCACTGGAAGCGGTCCATACAATGTTGTATCAGGCGATGTTAACAAGGATAAGAAACCAGATCTAATTGTGACGAATGCAAACTCTGGTGATTTGTACGTTTTTATGAATGCTTGCGTGAACTAATAATCTACCTTTCAGCCTACTTGAAGTAAAGTAAGGTGCGAATAATTCAAAAATCAACTAAAATTTTTTGTGATATTTTTACCTGGTTCGATAGAGCTCGATGAGCTCTACGAAACTGTATATTTTATAAATTTTTCAAACCCTTTTTTGGTTAAAATTTCTAAAAACCTCTTAAAAAAATATGCAAAAAATTCACCTTTTTCCAATGTAAAAACAATACTCGGTTTTACATTAATATTATTATGTAAGCGCTTTGAAAATATGCTCATTCGACGCAGCGTGAAAAACTGCATCTAGTGATGTGGATTTCAAAATGTTCCTATGTGATTTTCTCGAACAACTCCTGAGCCCAACAAGACACTACCCCCTCGAAAATTGGCTGAGCGTTGCCAAAAATGCATCAACTCTTGCTAGACTCATACTTACCCCAATATTTTCATTTCATTTTACTCGTTATATGATGAGGAAAAAAGTATGTATCCGTTTTTTTTTCTGTCATACTATAGTTGAGAACGATCGTTTTTTCTGAACATGAGCAACACAAGAAAAGATCTTTTTTGTCCTTGGCAACATATTCTTGTATAAATAGATATTAATATTGAATATTCAATGGTAAAACAAATGCCAGTATTAGGACAAATAGTTTTACAACGTCTAGCAGCATTGTAGAGGTTATTTTAGAATCGTTTTTTTGTACTCAAAAAAATGAATGCACTATAGAAGCAGTCAGCGTGTCCGTCCGCCCATACGTTTACACAATAACTTTTGAAAAGAGAGTTCGATCACGATGAAACTTTTCACACAGTTTATTCTCAACAAGAGTGTGGGTGTGGGTGTGGGTGTGGGGTAAATCAATGCGAAACAGATCAACTTATATTTCTTAAAAATACAAATCAATCTGCTAGTCTCAACTTTTGCTTCTCAGCAACCGATTTTTGTCGAATATAAACTATTTAATTGGTATGCTTGAATTAAAATTAATTAAAAAGAAATGCAGAGTTAATTTTCCCGACGCGTTTCGTATCTTTTACAAGATAGTACTCTTCAGGGCTAGAGACAGATATATATCTACAATAGAAAATGCAAGCAAATTCATTCTTTAAATAAAAACTGAACATATTATCAAAATAAGAAAGCACATGAAATTATTAGAATTATTTCAAATAGAGAGATACTAATTTTGTTTATATTTCCATATATTATATAACCAGGAAAAACTTTATCCATTCTAGAACAGAAGAATATTATAAGTTCGACAAATATTATATGTCGATATTGTCTTTAGTTTTTCAGTTGAACGATTTCTTTTTCTGTAGTTATGGACTGGTTGACGACTCCAATTTTCTTTGATAGCTGTAGAGTTTTGTAATAGCTAGACATTCAGGAAAATCTCTATTTTCCGTATCAAGTTTTTCATGAAATGTATATGCAATTGCATCGGATAGAGACCATTTATCATGTGAACATTTAAGTGGTCTATGTGAACACATACATAATGGACCATCGATATCGTTAAAATCAAGAATTTGACCACAATTTTCATCATGGCCAAATGTTGTATTATACCAAGTTTTAAAAGATTCTTGAATATTAACAAAATTAACTTTCGCTGTATCACAGGTAGGAAAGCCACAATAAACTTGATTATATAATAAATCTTTATTGGATTTACTCCATGTTTGAATTGTAGTGGATGATGAGAAAACAATTGAAAGTAATTCATTAATTTTTGCAGATATAACATGACATACAACAGACGAATGAATAATAGTTTTCATTGAAAATGATTGTTTTATCAGTTCCATTTGAAATATATGCTCTTTTGATGACCAAGTGTCATAGGGAACAATGATACATTCTTTTGTTTCATTAATTTCAGTAATTATTTTATCTAGTTGAGTAGATGTTGTTTTGTCATCAATGTAAAAGGATTTGTAATGTTTTATTGGTACGAATTTCGATAAGGTTTTCATTTTTCTAAACTTTTTCATTTGAACATTAACTGGATGTGTATTGCAAAGGTGATGTTTTGAAGATTCTATATAAGACTTCATATATTTCAACTGATAGTAATTTACTAATGAAGATATCAGTATGCCAAATAAAGCCGGTATAAATGAATTAAAATGGGTGAATAACCATTGTAACCATGTTGGACTATTATTTATACTAGCCAAAGTATTATTACAACGAACTATAGAATGCATCTTTGACAAGAAAACTATCATCCATAAAGGATGTGAATAATTGGAAAAACTGAGCATTACTTTCAGTATGTACTTAACTGCAATGAATTCAATATGGAAAGATCAAGTAGTGGATCGATTTCCTGTTTTTTACAAGATATTAATCTTCAGAACTATTTATCTAGAACTGAATAAACAAAAACTAATTAATAGTGGTTCTTACAGATTGATATTCTCTGTCGATAGTGTCATACGAAAGAGATGCACTTCAATCAAGGGGAAAATCACGTACTCGGAGTACGGGAGTACTCCTGGAGTACAGGGAGTACAAGGGAGTACAAGGGAGTACATGGGAGTACAAAGGAATGCAAGGGAGTACAACGAACGTAATAATTTATTCCGAATATTTTTTGAAAAAG